TATGCAACAAAGGGGGGGAGGGCGAAACGTGTTGATACTCGGGGCGTATGCGGGGGTCTTCCGGAATATGCCCGAAAAATAGAGTATTTTGCTTTCGGGCGCCCCCCGTGAAACTAAGGTATTTTGCCCAAAATATTGCCCGCCTGGGGGTTGTTTACCCAAATTATCCCGGGCTAAAATGACCCCCCCCCCCCCCCCCCCCCCCCCCCCCCCAATAGGCCTGTATCTATTAACAAACATTCCTAGTCGTTCATTTTTGAAAGAATTGTTAGACAATAATTATTCAGTTAAACATTTGATGAGCAAGCAAAAGGACGGAAATTGTGAGGCATTGAAAGGCTTACTATATTTCTTTCTCCAATGAACTTGGATTATAGCAAAATGCACTGGGTACGAGTCTAACGTATCAAGTTAAAATATTCCCACTTTTATCAACTTTGTACATTCTAGAGCGTCGCTAAGAGCGAGTTGCTGGCAAGATTTGCATACACCTCTCACAGTTTTCAGAAACAGAGGCATTATGCTCCAAAAATATTAGTATTATGCCAGCATTATGCCTGATGCTCCAGATATAGTATTATGCTCAAAATTATGCCGGCATAATCCGGCAGACCCTAGCTTATGCCGCTCGTGACGGCTTCGCCGCCAAATCTCACCCGACTACTACACAATACCGCTATTTCTAAAAAAACGTTACATTTTGACTGGATTATAAAATATACATAAAACACTTCAAGACGTCGAAAAATTTCCCTCCCTAGTGGTAACTGTAGCGTGATGATCTCGGTAACTAGCCAATTAGCCTTTCATCTTTTTCATAGACCAATTTACTTGGTCAAGACTGTTTATAAAAAACTTTAAACAGAAAAACTCTGCAAAGGAGTTAAAAGAGAAGAGGCAGTGTGATCAGTTTTTTCCATTTTATTAAGGTCTATTACCTTTACCATGAAGCCAAGACTAAGGCAGTTCTCCAGTCCATATCCGTGAGAAAGGGCTTTGTTTTATTATACCAATGCAGAAAAATAGCTTCTAACTATTTACTAACAAAATGTGATTATAATATAACAACGGCAAAACCTGCATGAAACTACAGGTCGTCTGCTGATTTCTTTTGACTTGTCTGTGACATTAGGAATCAAGACTCTTGAAATACATAGTATAATAAGAGATTTAGTAAACTTTAGAATTACATCAACAAAATAATTATCGACCTTGCATCAACTGAGGCAAATCACAATCCAAACCTGAAGTTGACACTGGTCCTACCAAACTTGTCATGGGTATAGAATCAAGGGAGATTTCAAAGGTCCATTTAGCGGCCTCAAGACTATGGAACAGGACCAGAAAAGAACCAGGAATACACAAAATGTACAATTTCGAATACAAGCTCCGCACTCCTGTTAATTCACTTATACTACCGGGAATTTTTTCTATGCATTTTAAGTAACTAAAAGAAAAAAAAACATTGCAAAACAAAATAAAATGGGCAGCGTGCTTACTTTCCACAGTACAAATGGTCTTTAACATACTGTCCATTGATTAAAAACACCTTGTACTGTTTGTTTATAACTGAAAGGATTTGTCTCTTACAACCGGGGTTATTTTCAGGAGAGATTATAGTGTCTACGGTTTGTAACTATAATAATAAGCAGTGCTTATATTTAAAATCTTACTAACGTTTATTATACCCTAACCTTACAAAATCTAATAATTAATTAATAATAATATGCTCATATCAAATTTTCGAATGTGCAAAATAATCATGTTCCCATAGCGGATAACAGTGTAGTAAGCAGTGAATGCAGCAGCTCATTCACGCTAACTGACATGGTCCCATATCAAAGACACAGTATCAGCATCTAAAAAAGGCAAAAAAAGAATGCATGAATCATACAAGGTACTCTGTCACTACTGATAAAGGTAACAAAAGCAAAGGTATAAATGGCTGGAGCTTATCCCGGTTTCCTTGGCATGAAGTACGCCCAGGAGTATTGCTACTCCCCCTTAACGGGATGGTAGTCCATCGTAGGTTTACCCCCCAGGAGTATGTGGCTGGTACCCATTTAGACACCTTGGTCAAGAGAGACAAAGTGGAGTAAAGTTCATCGTCTAAGGAAACATATAATACTAATTGAGGTGGAAGAATAAGACAAAAAAAAATTGAGAAAAAGTTGAGAAATTACACAACAGTAACACATTACAGATGTATGGAAAAGCTAAAAAAAGAGAGAGGAGGACAACATTTTGAGATATTAGGGACTTTAAGATCCAACGACATGACGTCAACGAGAACGTTGCTTAAAAAGTGAATTTGCGTTCTTTCAGTCTTTATCGCAATTATTCCTACCCACTCACTTTGTCAAATATAGGCGAACCCTCCTGGAATTGAAATCCTAGGGCCAATATCCAAGTTCAAAAAGAGAAATAAAATTTCGTCGTTGCTTGTTTATATCTTTCATAAAACGCGAAATTAGGCATTTTCACGTCATAGTCGTGGAAAAACGGGCTTAGAATTTTACCAAAAAGCGTGATACACGTGCAAAGTTGTTGTTTTGCTTATAAAACCTATTGTTTTTTGGACGTTCTCGTTGCCGTCCGCGTCGTTGAATCTTAAAGTCCCTAATGACGAGCAACGAGAACGCTGACGTCTTGGACGTCAAGACTGGAAGGCGAAGTTTTCTTCTGATTTTGATGAAACGCTTCAGTTGCACACAACCAAATTTGAAACTTTAGTTTCTACTCCTGTATTGTTATGTTATTGAGTCAGACCAGTAAAAGAGAGAAAAGATGTACTTCCACTTGTTATTGTTGACGTTCAGGACGTACAACTGTTCGCCAAATTTTCCATTTTTGTCAAATTCGCCATTTTCATCAAATCCGCAACTTTACAAGGGGCACCTTTTGACATCTCATTTGCATTTTCACCAACCCTCTGACAAATGACCACCTTTTTTGCAATTTTCGTCAATTCGCAACTTTACAGGTAGCACCTCTTAACATCACCTTTGAATTTTTGCCAACCCTCGGGTGAATTTTTGCTAGATTTGCCATTTTCGCCACTGCATGCATTTCTGCACATAAGAGCATTTTGTTCATACCCCGGACAGTGAGGACGCCATAGAAAGTTGTCTGTAAGGGGCGGTTCGACTGTACCTAAAGAGTAGGCTTTGCTAATGCATGCAAATTTCAGCATGTACAGCTTCTGTGCAGCCACAACTGATTTGAAAACTGACAATTCTGTAAAATGTCTCCAAAGTAGAGAAGTTCATAACTGAACGCGAACAGGCCACTATAAAGGGGACTGGTAACAACTGTCAGCCATGGCCAGAATCAATACCCAACATTTATATCTAAGGCCAAGGGGTAATGAACAATTCATCCCTGAATACTAATGCCATTTCTTTTGCTTTAAGTATTCCCTTCACTAGCCTCAGAGCCAAGTATGACCTATTGTTCTAAGGGTTGGCACTCAAATTGTCAGTTTTTACGTCTAAACTGATGTACCACGTACGTTTCTTTAGGATCTAAACCTTTAATTAATTTTCGTAAAAGGAGATGGCTGTACAATTTTTGCACTTTACATGTCAGGCAAGTCTAGTGCTAACTATTCTGGCCAACAGTCCTTACAATGCTATTGGTAAAATTACTTTACTCCAGCCATAAATAATCTTAGGAAGTGACAAGATAAAGACTCTCACCTTTGTTTACCATGGCATTCCCTAATAATGTTTTTACATAGCTTCAAACTCGTCAACTCTCTGTTTAGTGTTCCCTTGTCTTATCTGTTTAAGGGTTTTGTACTTGTCTCGTCCTTCTTTCTGGTTTTGCATATGAAGCTTATCATAACTAGAATAGTTCTTCTCTTCTTTCTGCAAATCTTCTTGCAGTTGCTACAAGAAAAGATATTAACATTTGAAAACTACAGCTATTTACTCCAGGTGTCAAATTCTGGTATGCAAATTAGTATTCACCCAATCTTGCTATTTTTTGTGTGAAATATTATGGGTTTCAGAACGTGAATATTTTTTTCCTGAAAGATTATCTTTTGCCCTTTCAAAAGAGGTATAGGTTTTTAAGCTGCTCTAAATACCTGCAAAGATATAATTGTTTTTAAAAAATGTGGTGAATTTGGTTCATTTTTAGCCAGATAACAAGGAGTTAATTAACCAAAACTTGTAGACTTCAAAAGGTAGAGTGTATAAGTCTTGGAAGAATCACCGAACAGTTCCACACAATACCGTAAAATTCCATACTGAAAACCATACCAAATCTTGATGGGAATGCTGTAGAAGCAGAGCTCGAAAACAAAAATTGAATTCCAGCTTGTCCTTTGACCAAGCAGATGTCCCATTTTGCTTGCCTGGGGCCACCAATTACTTGTCTTAGCTAATGATTTTGTTAGACCATGACTTGGCTGGACCTTCGGCCTTTGGGCAAGTAAGCTTTAAAAGCTACTTGCCCACCAAGAAAATCTAATTGCCCTGGAAGACCAGACAAGACCCTTTTCGCGCCCTGAGAAGGGCAAGATCGTACACCTCAAATTCGCCAGCAAGGAAAAACTCTATATATGACGCTTGACGTGTCACTGAATTTGCATAGTTCATGTATCATACCTGAAGCATCTTTCTCTGGCGTTCATTCTTTTCCGCCTCTGTCAGTCGATCCTCTTCTGACCTGTCCCCTTGTATATTTTCAATGGTGAGCTCAGCTTCCAGGGATGTCTGTTGTTCCTCCATTTCAACTTTCTCCTGCACCATAACCTGTTCTTGCAATGCAGTGGCTTGCTCCTGAAGTTTCTTGTTCTCTTCTATTTGTGCCTCAAGCTAATAAACAACATTTAAAAAAAGGATAAACAACACATCCCACCGTGATTTTCCTGAAATCTTCTCATCAATCTCATAAATTCAGCAAAACTTGAAACAGTTCTTTTTCTTGTTAATGTTTGCACTTCTAAAATTCTCTAGATGATTGCCTAGCAACCAATCAATCATCTGTAATAATTTGGCCTAACAAAATAAACACCCTTGACCTTTTCCCATAGACTACGAGTGGTCCCCCATTTTTCCTCAGGGATAGTAGAGCGAGTGAAACACGGAAAATCATCCCACGCGAGAAAATCCCCACCCCGTGCCGCCTTTTCTCAAGTGCGGTGATTTTCACGCGCGTTTGCGTTTTGCTCACTCTACTGTCCCTGAGGAAAAATGGGGGACTACTCATAGTCTACTTTTCCCATAAGATATGAAAGATTTCTGATGCCAAAATGTTTTCCAATAGTGGTTACCTAGGTAACTGAATGCTCCCTCTGACAAAACCACCTTAATCTATTTAGTGGTTTGGCCAAAGTATGAAACTTTCTTGAAGGAAACAATTCAACTTCAATGAAGTGAACAAGCTGTGTGCATGTCTCAGTCAAACATTAACACTTGACCTTCTATTTTCAGTGATATTCACTGTTCTAAAAACCCTAGATTTAGGAGAAACAAGGCAGGCACTGGATTGGAAACATCAATAATTTAGTTAGCAATTTTTTTTTCTGTGATTGTTACCTCTTGCTGAATTCGTTCCTGTTCCTCTTTTACTCTTTTCTCCTCTTCCTCTAACTTTGTAAATCTTTCTTCCTTTTCCTGTAGCTCTCTTGCCTGGCAGACAAAAGTAAGAAACCAGATCAAGCCAAAAAGTTGACTACAAGACAAAAAACAAATAACACTCCTGACTTGTTGTTCGCAGTCTAGACATACCAATTTCTCCTTTTCCTCCTCATCCTCAGCTTTTTTCTTCCTGATTTCCTCTATTTCAGCTAAATGCATTCTGCTCTCTTCTTCTTTCCTTCTGGTTTCTTGTTCTAGTTCTTCTTTTTTCCTGGCCAACTCTGCAGCTTTCTCCTCTGCCTCTCTCTTTTCTATGGATAAAATCACAGAATTTCAATAAACAATTATAATACAACCACTGATTAAAGTCAACCCAGTGCTTTATGGGAATACAGGCAACTTAAAACAGACAGTTTTCTTTGTCCTTGGGGATAGCCCTAATATTTTCTCTAAATTCAACCCCATTATACAGACATATTTTAAGTCTGACAACACCCACTTTTTTTTACGTTTTGTTTTTCAATTCACTAATCGACACTACCTTGTCATCTCAGCTCTAAGTGATGTTTAAAACACAAACAGCAGTGATTTATCATGGGTTAGTGCTTTGAACAGCTTCCCCAGAGTATATCATCTCAATAGTATTGCTAAATAATGCATTTTTCTTTTTGAAATAGTATTAATTGAAAAAAGTTAAACAAAAGCAGCAAAAATAACAGAAATATTTATGCAAATGCATTATGCAACTGAGGTAAACAGTTGAATCATCTACTTGTTTTCACAATACTGCTATCCAAATGAAAGAAATTTCACAATTAACCAGCTGCACAAGAGAAAAAAATTGCTCATGTAGAGTGCTGCTAAATCTAACTGCATCATAATGTACATTGATAATTTTTTCCGCATTACAAACCCATAAGAAGTAAATAACTTGTTGCTCTGATGACTAATTTTGCCCATTCCTTCTTGAAATGGTGACAATGGACCAAAGTTTGGTCTTTTTTCACTTACATTTGTGTAGAAAACTTCATATACTTTGACAATAACATTATCTTATTTTGTTTCACTTAATGAAAAGTTCATTTTGACTTAAGTAACACGACACACTTAATACAGACAGCCCATTAACGCTGAAGTTCCTGACCTTGTAAACTGGCAAAATTTATCCTTTAAAAAACAGCAGTTCGGAGAAGAGATATTTAAAGTTGTAAATTGCTGTATGATGCACAGAACATAATCATGAAACTCAACAATAAACTGCACAGGTTATGACAACCTCTTGCTTGTTTTTCCTGTGAAGCCTTAAGTTGAGCTATTTCTTCCTCTAATCTCTTTCTTTCTGCTTCAGCTTTCTCGCGGGCCACCTTTTCTTGCTCCAGTTTTTGCCTAAAATAGAACAAGAATGCAACGTCAACTATGGGATAAGAATTTTATCATAGCCTAGATGGCAATTTTTCAAGTCCATAGCAGTTTCATGGTCATGCTGTGCAATCACAATGATCATACAACACAGAGTTAAAAAAACTAACAACAACAACAACAACACAAAGGCAAAATAGCTTCAACAGCACTTAGAATTACACCTATTTCTGCATATTCTGGATTTAAATAAACGATTATTCGAAGAGAAGTCATGATCAATGTACGAAAAGCAAAAAAAACCAACTAAGTAGAAAATAACTGTCAAAGGGAAGAGCAAAACAAAGCAACTTTGGAGTTGAATGTCTGAGAAACACCACATAGTCCTTGAACAACAAGCTGAAGAAGCTCATATCAGTGATGGACAAAGTTGGATTTTACATCAAGCTGCAGTCAGAATGAGACTGGCATAAAAAAGCAGGGTCTTATTACACACTGCACTCTACAATCTACCACTGTGATCTCTCATCACAGGACACCCAATCAAGGACAGTATCAGCCCACTTACACCTGAACTGCCCCAAAATTCGGTGAATTCTAGAGACATTTGGGTTCAAACTGAAATATATACATTTTGTATATTCATAAATAGCTTAAGTTGTTTCTCCTTCTTGTCTTCGCCACAAGGATCAGTTTGTTGTTTTTTCCCCTATTTTTCTCATCACGAGGAGCATGAGGAAATGCCGTTGTCATGGTAAACGATCCTTTTTCCGATTCAATTTTTTTTGGTTAAGTGAAGAATCCATATGATCTGAGATAACAAATCTGTTTTGGAACTCTCCCAAAAAAAAAGCACCCTAAGTACTTCAGTGAATCTGGTTGTTTAGTAGTCAAATAGAGGGAATCTGAAATGGGAATGAAAGCAACCATAGTTTGCAGATTAGGTCTTTTCCTCTGGTGGCCGCTAAATGGCTTAGGTTGCTTTGAACATCATTTTACAGTGCAAGATATAGTGGCAAATTGGTTATAGTAAATGAGTACAAGGTGTAGGCAATTTCTCTGTAATGAATCTTTCAACACACATTTCATTAACATAATCACTGATAAGAAAGCTTACCTTTCTTTCAATTTTGCTTGTCTTTCTTCCAGAGCTTGAGCTTTCATCTGTTGAACTTCAATGGTGTCTGGCTTCCTGCGCCTCATATAAAGTTCATGGTTTCCCATGCAAAGGGCCAAAATTCGTTTGTTTATCCTCAACCGTGATGCATAGAAAACAAAATCCTAAAATTACGAAATTAACAATAAGTTTAATGGCTGCATAAAATATTCTCTTAGACAAAAAAGACTTAATCATTATCATATTCCGCTTGATTTCTTTAATTAAAATAGCAACATGACTTACCGGTGCCTTTTTGTCTATGGGTTTGATGATAAATTTTTTGTCATTAAAAGAGATATTTCTTATTTCACTCCAAGGAAATCCAATCTTTGGTGTTAGCCTGGTAATGGATAAAAAAAAAAATTAAAAATTTCCATTTTACATTTCACAGCCAGAAGTCAACATATCTCTTTTGCTGACATGTTATATGTAATGGGAGAATTTACCATCGCTAGTAAACTCCAACAGTATTAAAAATTTTCACTGGGATGCACTAGATCATAACATCAATAATCATTTTAATACTATTGAACCCTATTCAAATGGTTCTAATACCAAATTAAAACTTACTTGTCTTGTTTTTCATAAATATTCAAACCCAATGCATCTACACCAAGGTTTAGCTCTGTCCCTTTCTTGTTTTTGATGTCAAAGTAGTTGACACCATACATTTCTAAATCCTGAGCAGTCTTAAGATACTCAATCATAGCATCTTCCCTATAAGAACAAAACAACCTCTCAGGCATTAATGATTATCAAATGCTTCTGCTTCCTTGGGGCTCAAAATAACTCAAGATGCTAGTCTTCCACAGTGCAAGTAGAATCAAATCCTTCTGGTCCCAGAAACAAAATTATTTTACGATACCACTTTAGCTAATTCTTTGGTTTCACTCAAACATTTTAATATGACATTTGGACTCTGCTTTAATTCACTTAGCCACTTTGTTTGGTGATCTTAATTGCGGGCGACCAGAGGAGCCTGTTAGTACCCTAATCTCCAGGTTGATATAAAACATACACAAAAGGTACTGGTATGTAGCCAGCACTCTTTAGCACTTCCAGTAAGCACAAGTGGAACACATAGAACTCAATTTGATCACATGTGTTTGGATCTTCTATTACAAGAAATTTAGTTGGGAGAATTGGGGAAATTTTCACCACGTTCACCATTTTTGCCATTTTCTACAAAATCGCAACTTTTCAAGGGACCCCTATGCCATCCTATTTGACATGCAGTTAAGGCTTTGACAAATTTTCGCCATATTAGCCATTTTCATTTTTTTTTTTCTCAAAATTGCCCCTTTCTTTCAAAAGGCCCCTTTGCCATTTCATTTAAATTTTTGCTAAGACTTTGGTGGGTGTTTGCCATATTTGCCATTTTTGCCAAATATGCCATCTTTGCCAAAATAGCCCTCTCAACCCTCTGGGCCAAGTTGTTCAAAGCTGAGTTAAGATAACCCAGGGTTAGTGTGAGATTTGAATTCAGATTTGAAAGCTTAAAAAGCAATTCAGTTTTAATTCTTTTTGTCCACAAGTTGATAATTGGAAGCTCTAAAAATAAGAGAGAAAATTATCCGAGGAAATGCTTTTGAACACAAGAAAAAGAAACCAAGGGGTTAAAGTTAACCCCGGGTTAAGCGCTAATCGGCCTTCGAACAACTGGGCCCTGGTGTTTTTTTCACTGGATTTGCCATTGCTGGCCAGCTTTCACTGTCTTCGTCATTCGCCATTTTTGTCATAATCGCCAATCTCTAAGGGGCCATGTTTCGCATCCAAATTGAATATTCACCAAACCCATGGAGAATTTTTGCCAGATTTGCCGTTCACGTCAGATTCGCCATTTTCGTCAACTTCTCTACTTTACAGGGAGCACCTCTCGTAATCTCATTTATGCACCAGTAATTGTAGGGTGGGCTGGGCATACTCATACCCCTTCCCTGGCAGTAAATGTTGTTTGATTTAAGAGGTTATAAATTTCAATGCATATTTCCATCTAGTTATGTCCCACGCTTTGTACAGAGGCATTTCTCCTTAAATCAAGCACCTTTTAAATCTGTTTAGTCATACAAATTAATATTCAAAATTGAATGGGCAATGAGAAGCAACTTCCAAAATGGTAAGCAGGCGCAAAACAGCAATCCCAAGGAACTCTGGGTAATGTTTTCAAGATGGTAGGCTGAGGCTAATTTCCAGGCATTTGCGAGATCTTGCCAAACACCCCCACCCTCAAGATCTTGCATCACATCAAATCTTTAATTATTCCCCACCCAGGGGAAAGGAAATACAGTCAAATTCCCCAGGGATACCCAGCCCCTCTACCCTAGGGCTTAACATTGAAATTAAATTTTTGCCAGCACTCTGGAGATTTTTTGCCAGATCCGCCATTGTGTGCATTTCTGGACATAAATGGAGAATTTGATAAAAGACGGACGCATTTCCTCTTTCTCATTAGTAGCCTTGTTTTCACATGATTATGTTTTGAGTCAGACATGACTCTTGGAACATATATAAAGGGTTAAAATGTCCTATTACATGATTCACCTTGACAACATGGCATGTTCAGACCACCATTGTGCTACTTTTTCTGGAAGATTGTCTTTTGCATGGGTTTGCATTACTCTGCAAGCATAAGATATAAGAAACAACTTTAAAGCACATAAGATAAACTATAAATGACAAAGCAAGCCTGCAAAACAAGCATTCCCATTAAAGACAGTCTTATTTAAGTAGGTCATGACTGTTGGGGTGAAAACAAAATAGTAAGGAGGGGGTGAGGAGGTGGGGGGAAGGGGGGTGGTCAAATGCAAATCTTCAATCTTCCTAGGAATGCTTGTTAGAGGGTAAAACAAGTGAGAATTTTTTAACACTAAAATCAAAGAACAATAATTGAATAAAGAATTAAATTCTACCTTTCAGCCAATAATCTTTCAGCTTTTAAAAACTCCTGATTGTGCACCTCTGGACTTCTTGTTCCATGCTTAGCTTGCAACTGTACATAAGGAAACAGCCACATAGTTATAGTCTGAATTCTCAGCCATCTCTTTGCCCCACTAGGGTAATCACGCTGTTATTTTAGTGGCTTGTCTTGGTCTTTTTTATTCCTTGATGAAGAAGGTAACATCCTTAATTTTGTACTTAAGTGCCTAATTTGTGATCAGGACTGCTCAGATATGAAAATAGATCGATATTCAGAAAACTGTCGGGTTCAACTCCTGCCGGATATCATTCTGTAACCACGATCTCAATACGCCATTTCCAAGGTTGCCCCAGGCTCCGTTTCAAAGCAAGGCCAAATTATGATGACCTATTTTGTCTGACCAAATTGTGACTGATATGGCCACCAATGTGACTAACATTTTCTCCTTGGCGACTAAAAATTCTGGTTTAGTCGACGAGATTTATCTATGATTTAGATTTACATTCAAAGAATAAAGTTAAAACAAACATTTTATCTTATTTTTCTTTGCTTTCGTCACAAAAAATGTGCCAAATCGCATAAGCAAAGACAGTTTACCTCCAAATTTATACTGACTTCTGTCCAAAATATTTTCAAACAATCAAATCTGATGGATCGCGCCATACTATAAGCTACATCATTTAAATTATACAAACTGGAAACTAAAAATTTGCATCTGTTGGCTATATTTCTCCAGTTGGTCACCAAAAAGCAACCAGAGGACTTTTTAACTTCGAACCCTCAGGATAAGATAGCACAGTTACCCTGTGCTGTCTCCATGATCAGCCCAATTAGCTAGTATTAAATCATTAAAATCTGATCATTTTAACTTACAGCAAAAGAGGCCAGCAAAACAGCAGTTTCTGGAGGACAATATGTTCTTTCCGTCAAAATGTCTTCCTTAACTTGTAAGAAGAACAGCCTCTACAAAAACAGACAGTTTCAACTTTCACAAAGAAAGATAGTGATGAAATTAACAAGAAGAATTACACTTTTGTCACTGTTAATAATTTCTGACACTGTTGTTATTAAAATCTTAAAATGAATATACTTTAATACAAGATGGGAAAATGCAAAGACAAACACTTTGTCCTATATAACTCTCCACATGTGCAATATCTTCTTAAGGTGTTAGACCTGCTATAAACGTGTCATTTTCAAAAATGTATTTCCTCAAAAAGCAATTTCCAAAATATAAATTAAACAAGTATATTAAGCTAGAGTCCCTTAATATGGACAGCAGCTAAATCCCGGCCCAAAAATAAATTACAGACGTTTGGCTGAATTAAACACAAAATTATTATGGACTCTTGCTAACTTGAGGTCCCCATGGTGTCCGCTATAGAGGGAATTGACTGTAAACTGCTGCTCTTAATGTTTGTTGTGACACTGACCCAATTGCAGCACAGAATGTAGGTGCGAAAATGGAAAATCTTCATTTGAACTCATTTCATAGTGTGCTGTCAAAATATGGCATCATAATTCTAAAAATTTATTTAAATAATTTATAGTCATAATATGCATAATTCATCATTTAACTGTGGCCTTATCTGTCATGGTTCAGGCTTTTTAAAAGCCATGTACCTCGCCCTTAACAATCATATACATACCCTTGTGACTTCCTGAATGAGTTCCTCAGAAACATCTTCTGGGTAGAATTTTGCTCGAAACTTAAACTGAAGTGGTGACTCTTTCTTAACATCTTGGCTATTAACCTAATAAAAAAGAAAATTGAGAAATTGTCAAAGTAAATTTAATAAAATTCTTGTCAGTAGATCAATTTCATACAGTTTCACTTAAAATTAACACTGATATTGATGCTGCTGTAAATGTCATGTTAAGGGTGAGGCTCTAATATACACTACCCTAACAACAGCTTTAACACTCTGTCTACTTTAAACAAAATATGACAAGACAACACAGCAGGCTTTATGGCACTGACAGAAAAAAGAACTTTAACAGAGCATAGAAAATCAAAAAACAAAAGGGATCTGGTATAGCAGCACCTGGGCTGGTGGCTGAAGGTGATTTTTTCCTTTGGGTGACAAGGAAATGTGGAAGTCATGTCTGATCGCCCAGGGCTAGTTGATTTTTATGCATTCTTAACTAATAACTTGCCTGACAGGCAAGTGAAGTTTTTTGGGAAATTGTAGATCACAGAAATACTGTCAGACAAATTGATTAAATTCCTAATAATTCATGTGGATTGAAAGCTATTTTTCCAGGTGATCTGACAAAGTGAAATGATCATACTTAATAGGTGCAGTTATACAACCTGTTTTCCCTCTTGGCAAATGGCTGTTGCCCGTGCGGAAGCGACTTTTTGTGTGAAACCAACTTCCCCAAAATTGCCTGGGGGAAATTTCCATGGATACGCAAAAAAAAAGAACAATAGAACTTCTTGTGACAGTTCCAGAGGTAAGTTCTATGGGTTAATAAGAACCCAAAGCAGCTCGCCCAATCACGACAAAGTGAAAAGTACCTAGCATTATAAATCACTTTTCGCTTATGCACTGCGTTCCATTTAATGATTCAAAAGCTCTCAGACATTTTACTTTTTTTTTAACACCAGTAGTCACTAATTCTTTCCTAGTTGAGAAATTGGTGGGGCCAATTTTGTAAACCTGTTCTTGTAACCAACACATTATGAAATTGCACCTATTGAAACGTGTTGAAAGTAAATACAAATTTCTCGGGCAATCAAACGTCTCCTGTTATTTGTAAGTGAAAACTGGTGAAACATCTTGATTGTTTTGGAGACAATAGAAAAACAAAAGATAGCAGAAAGATCAATTTATGCAGTCTTAAAATGAGTTGCATGACTTTATTCAGTAACAGCATTTATCATAACTTTCCTGCATTAAAACTTTGGAATGATTAGTCTGAGGCAAAGCCTAAAAAATCCTGATAGTCAAAATAAACAGGGTGCCCAAAAAGGCAAGCATCTGAGAAATCAAAGGCAATATTTTTATCTCCAGCAAAATCTGCCAAAAGAAGGGTAATTTTTTATATAAGTGTACGTGAAGCAAAATACACTTGTATCTCCGGGTCTGTAAACGCAACGTTTCCTCAAAGTTTTTTTCCTTTTGAAAGCATAAATTCACATGAAAGAATTACCGTTTCACAAAAACAATATAAAATGAAACAGAGCAAATTGAAAAGTCGTAAAAAAGCCAGGATAATTCAGTTTGATGGAAACGACAGGTAATTTGCATACAGATGAAAACAACTTTGAGCGCAATTCAAAACTGCTCGACTTCATATTTGTTTTTCTAGCATTCTATACATTCTCCTGGCTTAACACCTTAAAATATTTTATATAAGTCAAAATAATTTACACGTTGAGTGATTGCAATTGCTAATATAAAGGAAAGTAGTGCGGAAGCTTCGAATTATCGCTTTTCTTAAGTTACATTTCAGTCAGAGAGTCAAAGGCTAAGTCAGAGAGTCAAAGGATGTGTTGGCATCCATTGTGAGCGCACANTAACAGCATTTATCATAACTTTCCTGCATTAAAACTTTGGAATGATTAGTCTGAGGCAAAGCCTAAAAAATCCTGATAGTCAAAATAAACAGGGTGCCCAAAAAGGCAAGCATCTGAGAAATCAAAGGCAATATTTTTATCTCCAGCAAAATCTGCCAAAAGAAGGGTAATTTTTTATATAAGTGTACGTGAAGCAAAATACACTTGTATCTCCGGGTCTGTAAACGCAACGTTTCCTCAAAGTTTTTTTCCTTTTGAAAGCATAAATTCACATGAAAGAATTACCGTTTCACAAAAACAATATAAAATGAAACAGAGCAAATTGAAAAGTGGTAAAAAAGCCAGGATAATTCAGTTTGATGGAAACGACAGGTAATTTGCATACAGATGAAAACAACTTTGAGCGCAATTCAAAACTGCTCGACTTCATATTTGTTTTTCTAGCATTCTATACATTCTCCTGGCTTAACACCTTAAAATATTTTATATAAGTCAAAATAATTTACACGTTGAGTGATTGCAATTGCTAATATAAAGGAAAGTAGTGCGGAAGCTTCGAATTATCGCTTTTCTTAAGTTACATTTCAGTCAGAGAGTCAAAGGCTAAGTCAGAGAGTCAAAGGATGTGTTGGCATCCATTGTGAGCGCACAAATAGTCAAGGGACCCGCGATTATACACCCGACATGGATCAATAAGCAGATTGCCCCTTTTTAAGTGTAAATGTAGTCAATGTCTTCATTGTAGTCGTATAAGGGCTGAATTGATAGTGCTAAGCATAATTGATGTGGAGATTTTATTAACTCTTTCACTGCCAGAGTGCCTGATGGAGTTTTGTAAGGTGACTCTATCTTTTGAGTCTGTGGACCAAATCCTATGATGTGACTATTCAAATAAAATCTCTCTGCCTGTACTTACACATGGGGCTAGTTGTTTTTTGAAAATTTCACAAGATGAAATTTTGTCAAAATTTGCTTTTGGGTAAATTTGGCAGTAAAAGGGTTAAGGGATAAAAATGGTGGAAAACATTTTAGACTTACATTAATAATAAATAACTATAACAAAGGGCATTTGCAAAGAACAATTAAATCTGTTTCATTGTAGAATTCCACGAATTGCTTCAAATATGAGAAAGGCATGGTCTTCAAACTCTTTGCCTTCATATATAAAAATGTGGCCTCCTACACTGACAGGATTTCCCCGATATGTGACCTCGCATGGGAAAACGTACACTAACGGCTATCGGTTTTTTATCCATTTAGACATTTTATCAAACCGTTAACCCATTACACAAAACATTTTCATTTCAACCCATTCTGTTAAAACGGTAATCCCCATCTGTTAGATTAATTTAATAAGCAGTTTAAACGACAAACATGATCCTGGACCATTTAGTTGATTTCAGAAAGCATTTAAAACGGCAGCTGTATGGTTTAAAGCCATTAAATCGTTCTTTAATAACCATCCATTTAACTGGCTTTTCCTTAGTTGTTTTAACAGTTTGCTTTGACATTAAAATGCTTTAGCCCATACACTAGAAAATTTAGCTTAACAGTTCGATAAGCCTGGGAAACCATTTTAAAGCTCTAGATATCCATTTGCCTGCCGTTTCTCAGCCGTCCATTTTAACTGTATAATTATATTTAAGTTTTTCATGTTCTGCTTTACTGATGGTTGTGTGTTCTTCAGGGTATTTACTGCACCTCTTAGACTAAACTATAGAATGGTAACCTTCACCTCTGAACCAATAAGTATGCATGAATAAATAAACGAAATCAAGGGCCTCGACTCAAGGGAAATTACATCACTTGCAATGTGCCAAAACATGATTAAAATAGCGCAACATTTCAATCATCGCCAAAAATCAAGCACATGCTCATCATGAGACTCACTTGCATACAATAAAAGTTTACAACTCTGGACCAATAGAACGACTGACCAAATTATAGTGCTCATCATAACGTGGTAAATAGATTCATGAGTGAAAAGGAGCATGCAGAAAACTTAAAACAACAGTTCCAATTATAAATCACATAGAGGAACATGCAGCTATACTGCAATTTAAGTGACATGATAATTTCATTAATAGCAAGTGCTTATCTGACTCATGTTTTGTTTTGTTTTTTAATCTTGGCAAACAAACTGATCAAAACAATCAAGCCATACACTTCAAAAACAAATAGGTTGTCTTGTCACAAAACTACCCAATAGGCAGCCCAGAAAGTAACGCCCCATCAAAACTTGTTAGTCTCACATAAGCATGCATATAACAAATCTGTGCTTTGCCTCTTCAGGCAATTATATAGTAAACTTTTGTAGTTTTTTTCCACAGTTGACTGCCAAACTATGGAATACTTAAAAGACAATGGAAGTTTTCTAAATTGATTTTGCACACTTCCTGTCAGACTCTATTACCAAGCCACACAATGAATATTAAATCTCTCATCATGACAGTACATGACGATGGGTAGACTAAAAAATGCAAGCTTATAGTACATCGATCATAGAAATTATCTGAATCATGGGTTTTGTCAAAATAATCTTTACATGGCAAAAATATAGGCCGGCCTACCTTCTTGTTCAACTTCAGCCACGTTACAAAGCCTTTGGTATCCGTGTACTGGAGACCAAAGAACCAGATTTCTCGCAGTCCTATCGTCTTCACGACCTTGGCAAAGCACAAAATACACAGATAATTTATGCTACAGCGATTCTTTTCTCGTGGGAAATGAATTGAACACTGCTTGAATTGACAAATTGCACGGTTAATTAAAATATGCATGTGAATAGAAAGATAAATACTATGATTATACAAACCTGGTCAAATAGTTGCTTTCCAGTCGTGCTTGGTTGAATAGCAAATTCTAACTCCGCATCCATAGTAGTTACTCGAACGTTGACCTAAGAGATATTTTGAGCTTGTTAATTCATAACAAATCGAAAACTAAAGTACACAAATTCGTACTTTCGAATTCCTTGCAAGGAAACAAGAAATCCAGATTGAGCTCGAAGTTTCAGTTTCTTGCTTAAAAACTTAACCAACGTCAGTAATTCTCGAGTGAACTTACCACTTTAGGCATTTTGATTCCTTTTCTGTTTCCACTACAAATAAATCTTTAAACACAAACTGGTGAAATATCCTAACCAACAGGAAAAGGTTTATTTTGCCTCGATCTGTAATTGAAGAACAAAAAATTAAGATTAACCAGGCAATGAGCTACATAATTTTAGAAGTCACGCTCGCCGAAGATATCTACTGCCGTCCCACAGAATTGCCATCAAATATGACAAGAGAAGGACTATGTGAAAAGAAAGTTTCTTAGTTCGTTTTAATAGACTGGTAATGCACAAAACAACGTTCCACGACGATGCATTATAATTTCTGCTACAGTTTAGCTATATTCCAGGAGACAAGCTTATGAAGTATCACGAGTTTCTGAGCCAAAAATGATGCCAAAAGAGTCAAAATAAAACTGACAATGCGAACTGCTTGTCTGATCAACTTCACTAACCTCTGGTGACGAAATGAAAGGAAACGCTGGAGAAATAAACCCAAATTTCGCCAAGATTCTCACCACTCAGCTAAAAGTAAGGATGGGCGTAACTTGAGGGCGCTAGAACATGTTTGCATTGGACCAATACATTGGCACCCCCTCTTGGCTTTATTCGCGCGAAGAAAACTGGGTTCTATTTCCGGCTGTCTCAGTCCAACAGGAAATACATTAATTTGGAGAAATTCTAAATCTTCTTGAAGTATTTGATCCTAATGGGAAAATTCTCTACAAAATCGACAACTTTGTGTTGATGAGGAGATTCTACAACCTATGGTACATCTGACAGCCTTTCTAGCATTTTCCAAGGGCTTCCCCTCTACCCCAAGTGGTTATGTGAATTCTGATTTGATACCCCCGCCGGGTTTGATACATTGGTGGTATTGTTAAAAGCACGAGATGATTTCTAAGCCAACAGGAAAAGAGTTTCTGTTTTAGTCTATTTTCTTTGTAAAAGAATGGAAATCGCGGCAACTGATACAACCTCCTAAAAGATAAATTTTCAGAAGAAAAGTGTTTTTTAATGATCATTAGCCCGTAAAATTCGCGAAAGAGTCATGTTCATGCTTGTTGCGTGACCAAGATGGCATGTCTGTTGAGAAAACTTAACTTCACGATTTTAAAAGCATGATCAATTTCATAATAAACGAAAAAATCTTTTGACTTAAAATAATTTCAAGAAACATAAACTTTAAAATTTCAACAGTTTTCATGCAAACTTAAGTTGAAAATTCTTGCATAAATCAGCGTCACGGTTTATTTACTTTGTTTTACTTTATACTGGTTTATATTATTTTGTACGAAAGTTAAAAGCAACAAATTTTAAAAACAACTAGCCAACAAGAGACACTAAAGTTATAAATATATTGATCTGCTATACTTATACTTTCATTTGTTGTGGTCGTCGTATATATTAACAGAAAGGAAACTTACCGGGCCGTAAAGGTCTTCAAACGCAGAGGTGCTTTTTTAAAGAAGGCAAAGTAGAGTTTCAATTTTTAAATGAGAAAATTGCGAAAGAAAGCGACGAAGGAAAAGTACCCGTGTTGTGTTAGTGCAAAGATTGGAATTTAAAGGAAAAAGATAACAACCGTGACGTCATCTTAATTATATATTATTTTGCATTGAAAAGAAATATAAACAATTGGAAGATACCATGACGATAGCAGATGAAACTAGAATTTAATAGCACCTGTGGGCGACATATTTTAAATGTCTTACATTTGAAGTCATCCTTTAGCAATTAAAGTTTACAAACAGAAAATTTCAGGACATTCCTTTAGATAAAAGTTGAGACAGGCTTAGGCAGCAGCTACACGAGCAAACAGCTAATCAGCCGTTTAAAGTACAAATGCAGACAAAGATTGCATAAGTATATGTAGCCCGCCCGGGCTACTGCGGCATTTGCCCGCCTTGTCAGTCCCGGGAGTGGGGCATTAGCAAATTTTGCGCTTCCCGGGGTCCGGGCATTTGCCAACACCGGGGCCACTCCCGAGCTTTTGACACGCACGCGGTTTCCTATCCGAATATAACTACTCAGAGGATTTTACCGGAGAAGCAAGCAGATTGGCTCATCTGTCAAGGACGGGAAAAATTGTAAAGGGTTGTGAAAACATATTCTCGATTTTATGCATGCATTTATTCACTGCTTATCAAGCCAAATTGACAAAGCGAAATCGGAAGCTGTTGACGTGAATCAACGTTTTTATGGTTATTGAGTCAAACTTCTGTTGATATTATTTAAAGAACCATACTTTCATATTTATAAAACTATTCTGAGCAGATAACTTTAAATCACACTATTAATTTTAATGTCAGTAATTTATAACAACACTAAAACAATAAACTGGTGTCTTCGCGGCGTGGAGTCTAAATTAGAATAGCGCCATTACAAAGGCAGAAGTTAATTTTAACCCAAAATCGCACATTAAAATGCTTAAAACACTACCCCACCGTGCGACCAATGAAAATTGTTGCAGTGTTGAAGGGGGACGGTGAATTTACCCACTTTTTTCGTCCCCACCCTAGAGGATTTCACAGCTCAAGAGTCCCCATCCCCGGGAATTTGCCATCCAAGGTAAAAAAAATGTTAATGCCCGGGGGGGAGGGCTGGGCGCAGCTGGAATTGACTGATGCATAATGTGCACTTTCTTTGTGAAAATCACCTGTATTATTTATCCAAACAAACGAATGGTGAGCGTTGTCACTTTGTTATATTTTTTTAAACAGAAAACTTTCAATTTGACCGACAACCACTAATGAACTGCATGCCGCGGTCCGTAATAACTATAGTCTGCGAAGTTGGCCCTAATGGGATTGCTCAGGATTGTTATACCGGCGATCCGACGCGAAGCGAGAGGTTTTTTAAATATGACGTTTAGCTCCCAACCTTCTCGCGGCTCCGCCGCCCACCAAAGAACTACAGCGACCTTTAATCCTGCCAGCCACTCAGGCGACAAAAATTTGAGAAAAGAAGACTTCTAGAACAATTGAAGCCGGGCAAGAGAATACAGAAGAACCTCCTTGTAGAAGTTATATTAGCTACAATAATGTTTTGGTCTACGTTCTATGATAAAATGTTTATTACGACGATTGTTATCAATTCTTAGCCAGGGCCGGGTTGTTCGAAGCTGGCTTAAGATAACCCAGAAGAGGAATTTGACTTCAGATATGAAAGTTTAAAAATCAAATTTAGTTTAATTATTTTTGTCTACAATTTGATGATTCTAAGAAGAATAGAGAAAATTATAAGAGAAAAAAGAAACCCGGATTAGAAATTTACCCAGCTAATCGACGTTTGGTACAATTGGGCCCTGAGGTAGTGGGGGTGTATCTAGGGAGGGAGAGGAGAGTCCCCTGGGAACCAAGCAATTACCGGTTATATAAAATATCAGCAAGTTCACAGCAACAAACCAATGAGTGGTACCGGATCTCCCAGTTGTAGACCTGGATCAGTACATCCTCGGAGACCCAGGGCAGTCAGTCGGGTTGGGATAAAAGGGGCGCCCGTACTTGAAACGGCTTTCGTCGCGCCTTTTCTCCCGACCCGACTGACTACCCCTGGGTCTCCGAGGATGGGATCAGTACAATTATTAAAACTTGTAGAAAAATATGAAGCGGCAAATTGATCCTTGCGGCAAGGCGATGATAAAGTAAACAAAAGAATAAAACAAAGAATATATGTTTAAACAAATTGCCCAATATTTCGGTTTGAAAACAAACCTTCTTCAGGGGCTTAAAAAAAACCCTGCTTCACCGGCGGCGCGGGTGTAAATTCAAGTGTATCATACTCCCCTCCAATCAAAAGCCCCTATCCGTCCTTTAGCACTTCATTCTTTTTACGTCTGCCGTCTTTCCACCAATGTCCCTAAACTGAGGAAGAGCACAGTGCTCGTTATGAAATTTTTTAGTGAGAAATTTTTTCAACGTCTGGGACATTGGGTCAGTCCACTTACTGTGCAAAATAGGCTTGATCGTCGACAAAGTGTTTAGAAGTGTTGTGACGTATGAAGGACAAGCTGAGGATGCATTAGCCCCGGCCGGAGTCGGCAATCATTGAAGGTGGCTCTTGCGAAAGAGACACACCTCGAAACAACAAGACCAGCACCACACAAACAACTACAACAACAAACTCTTTATTTGCGTGACGATAAGTAATAATAATAATAATAATAATAATAATAATAATAAACATCTATAATGCGCAAATTCCATAAAATGTTCAAATACGCATGACAAGATTAACAAGGAAATAAAAAGGCTAAAAAGCTAAAATTACAATTAAGGGTAAACTTACAATGATTTAAAAAGCTAAAATTAGAATTAAAAGTAAACTCACAATAATAAAAACAACTATGATAACAATGCATGACAGAAAAGATGAGTTTTTAGCTTGGCTTTAAAAATAATAACTGTGCTGGCCCCTCTTATGTCAAATGGTAACGCATTCCACGGTTTCGGTGCAGCACAGGTAAAAGAACGATCACCTAGTGTAGCTTTCGATTTAAAATGCGGATAACTAAGTAAAAGGTTATCACTAGAATTCCTTAGATTATATTTAGATGGGGAGCCTAAGAGAAATGAGAGACGATAAATAAGTAGGCGCTAAAAAAGTAATTACAGTACTGCAACATTATGGAACAGTTGCTGGAGCAGAAGAGGGTTGGATTTTCTTAACCGACCAATCTTAGTGACCTGTCGCTCGATAGCCATCGAGAAGCTAAGAAAAGCCTTGATATTCACCTAGTATGACCAAGCGTGGTAGACTAGAATCTATAGCTAGGACCTTGATGGCCTGGCTAGTTCCTCAGAATCTCACCAGGCTGGGCAGCAACAATGTGGCTGACATAGTGGTTGTTGAAAAGCCCATCCAAAAAGATAGTGACGGAGGAGTAGGCATTCTTTAATCAGATAATAATAAAAATAATAATAATAATAATAATATTTTTTTTAATTTTATTGACAACAATGCTAACTATTAAAATCCTATTTACAATTAATTGGCTTGAAAAAAAGAAAAAACTATAATAATAATAATGATAATAATGATAATGATAATAATAATAACAATAATAATAATAATGATGATGATGATGATGATTTATTTACGTGTCGGATATTTAGCTGACAAGCTAACTGGAGACACAACAAAAACAAACAGAAAAAATGCTTAAGATTATAAATACAGTGGTGTAACTTAGATCTATAAAATGTATGATAAGATCGCTTTGTAGAAAAATACAAGCACTAAAAATAGATTAAGAGCAGCATAAATAGCAATTCTGACAGTTAGAATTAGTACAGTTTACCAAATCAGTGAATAGCAAATTTGGCGGGTTTTGATTGGCTCCCGTAACTCGGAATATCCTTGGATATTCACTGTTTCGGGGACCGGAGCCAAGATGGCGTCTCGTTTCGAGACATTTTCGAAAGATAAAATTTGAGCGAAAATTTGAAGCAGTCGTACAAACAAATACCAAGAAAGCGACGAACTTTGGC